AGACCTGCGGATTTCCACCGTTGTAAACAGCAGATGAAGATGTATCGAACTATATATAGAAAGATTTTTCTAACTACTTTTCTAATGGTTTTTTGCATAAAACTTCAAGAAAAACAGCATGTCTATTATGGTCGCGATATTAATTTATTGATTTTCAGGAGTGCACTAGAGCCGCCAAACAAAGAGTTACAAAACTATACAAAGATTCAACTCCTAAGTACTACTAGTAAGATATCCAAACCATCAGAGTTCTATTTACCAACTCATTTTTTCGAAGAAATAATCAAAAAAATGTAAGTTTTTGTAGTATTATCACTAAAAAAAATCACTTTTTTAATGTAGGAGAGAAAAGAAATTCTTTGAAAACGTTTGACTAAAACTTTTAGAACAGTAATGAGAAAACTCTTTTTATATATGGTTGATGCGTCTTCATCTTCTCGTTCCAACGGTGAAGACCGCAAACCTTTATCTAGTTTCTATGAAAAGTTATCTAAAAAATACTCACGGACATTTAACTCTGAAATGGGCATTAGTTGGTTGAGATATATTGTACAGAACATATTAGTCAGAAAATTGTATTTGAATATCGGACTTTTTCTGGTATTTCGATTGTTAAATTTAAAAGCAATACAGTAATAAAAATCTTGTTTAATAATTTTGAAAAGCACGATTCCTAATATCTATTCAAAAGACAATTTTATCATGAGTACATTCGCTTCCATTTTTCTAGACAACAAAATTGGCAATGATATAATATCATAAAGTACGGATGACATAAACAGAGAATGAAGTTTTTCAAGACTATTTAATTGAAATTTCGATGAAAACGAATAGATTGATGTAGGAGTGCAGCAACATGAAAAAAATGCATAACACTTCCAGAAAAAGACAATTCATAGTTACATATATAATAACGATAAAAACAAAAAACAACATACATCAATGTGTTTTGTGAATTTGAAACTCGGAACGAATTATGTCTTTGTTATTTATTGTCATATCTCATCAATCATCATCATCATCATCATCTTGATCATTAATCCAAGTTGGTGGTACAAACTCTTCTACCATTTGCCATATTATTGCTAAAATAATAATTATAATTATGTCAAACAAATTTATCTTAAAACTAAAAGATCATTCAAAATTATCTCTACAAATTGTTCACAACTAACAATGTAAAACATAAATATTGTTAAAAAAAGTAATATTCAACTATTTTTTATCCATTCTTTGTTACAAATGACTTACATTTCCATTTGACTATAGTATATGCTCCATTTTGATGTTCATCAACGATAGGTTCTGTAGTTGGTTCTTCAATTGAATCGTGATAAGGCTTCAAGAATGGATGAGCTAAATAACAAATACAAGATAGAAAATACTATCCGTCGATAATTTTCTGATAATATTTTACCTAAGGCTTCTTCAGCAGTAGGACGTGTACGATGATCGAAAGTTAACAGACAATCAAGGAGATCAAGACCTGTAATGAAATAAAATAGATGGAAATGATTCGTTTGTTTTGTTTCTCTCTAAATTTACCCTCTGGTGATACACCAAAGATTGGTGTTTGTGTTATTGGATCATATTTGTACCCAAACAATTCATTGAAGTCTTGTCTTGATTTTGGTTGCAATTGGCTAAGATAATTACTTGCATCTACGATAATGTTTAATATAGAATATATGTCTAGTTATGTCATAAGTATGAGGTATCATGATACAAGTTGTCCATAAATGGAAAAAAAAGAGTTGTTTTCGTTGAATATGTAATGAAGAAATAGATTTGTCAAATTGTTGACATTTTATGTTGGAGATGATAGTTTTTCTTGTATATTTTCGTTTTGATACAAACCTGGTGTGCATATATCATTTAATATTGCTAAATCTGGTGTACCGATAATATCAAATATTCTGTCTAACTGATTAAGCCGATTTGTTCCACGAAAAACTGGTCGAAGCAGGATGAGTTCTGCCATTATACAACCGACTGACCATATATCAAGTTTTTCATCATATTGTTTTCGACAAATTATTACTTCAGGTGCGCGCCACCATCTAATGAAATAAAGATTCTGTACTTGTGAAATGAAAATAGTATCCTTGACGTACCGGGTTTCAACATAAGTAGTATAGCCACCATTCGATGCACTACGAGCTAAGCCAAAGTCAAGAATCTGTATAAAAATAGAGGAAGATACACTGCTAAACTCGGATATACAAGAGAACTTTTAGTGATTATAATCTGTCTTTTGGAATTTTTATCGATATATGTCATTATCTATCTTAAAAAAAAAGATAATTTGTTTTGTTGTTCATCAAGAATATAAATGATGAGTAAGAGTTCAGAAGATATTCTTTATCCGTTAGAGTACGAACCAGATAGATTCTTTAGACTTTCATTCAGTTTAAATACAGTATCACACAACAATACGTTGTTCATTTGTCAATAATATGTTCTACTCATAGATCAACACCTTATTTTCAACAATCGAATGCACTTATAAAGCATTGCAGAGCATTTTTCTCATATATTCTGCTAAATTATTATGCATATTTTCTTGCATAATTCGCATTCGTTATTATGAAATATTCTTCACCAAAGAGAAAATGACTAAAGTAACATCACATGCAGAACAGAACAAAATATGATTAAGTCAAAACATTAGTGTACATGACAAGGACGAAATAGGTTTTGTGAGGAAAAAAAATACAGTGCAATAAGAAAAAATGTCGTAAACGACCACTAAGAAAAGTTTATTATCCAATAACTTACTGTAACATTTGACTTTTTATCAATTCCGATATTTCCTGGCTTTAAATCCTATTTTAATACAATAAAAAACAATCTCTCACATATCAATATTTTATTTCGTTCTTCTACTTACACGATGAAGAATACCAGCTGAATGTATATACTACATTAGCGAAAAAAGAGAAATATAGGATTAGATAGATATTGGTGAGTGTGTCGATTCTATACCTTTAAACCACGAAGAAGCGAATATATAATTTGTTTTATATGTTTTTCTTCAAATGGTATACGACGTTTGATAACTCGACTGAGATCATAATCAACATAATTAAATACAAAATATCTGTACAACAAGAAAAGACAAACAACAAACATTTTCATCAAATAGAAATACTTTCACAATATACAATGTTTGAAAATCATTGAGATTTTTCTCTGGTGTAAACACATTGTACAATCGTACAACCTGAGTAGAAGGAATACAACGAGTGTTTGAAGAAAAATAAAGACAATGATTTTCTACAAACGTCTGCATCTGGATGATTGAGATACATAAGTAGTTTAAGTTCTCGATAAGCTCGTTTTGCATGTATTGTAGTTCGAAATGGATCAAGAATTTTTTTAATCGCTACATATTTACCTGTTTCCTAAATAACATTATATTATAACTATATTTTGTATTCATATTCATAATAAGACGTACTGTATCTTTAGCGCGACTAAATAATAATAACAGAAGAGTACGAAAAAATAGCATGAAATGAATTTTCAACTTACATTACAGCACCAAAAGCTCCTTGTCCTATATGAAGTAGTTCCTGGTATCGTACTGGTAATGTATATTGTGCTGTATCACAAGTAGCTGTATACCATTTACCTTGATCTCCACCATTAGTAGCCATTTTTATTTTTATTATGTTAAAAAAAAAAAGAAAGGCACATGGTTTTATAGGGTGTTGAAATTAGGTGGAGAAAAAAACAGCCTTTTTTCGATAGATATGTTACAGGATGAAACAAACAGAACGGAATAAAAGACGTCAAGGTGGTAGAAAATAATTACCAAGGAAAGAAAAAAAGCCAACCAAAATCAATTTATTTCAAAATGAAAAAAAATCCTACATATCCCTGTTTTTACAAAACGTAGCAGTGGCGTATCCAAGGGGGAGGCAAATGGGCAATTGCCCACTTTATTTGGAGATTTGCCCATTGTAGTTTTCACTAGTGAATTTTTGCCCGTTGAAATTTTACCTTTCAGAGGGATTACCGGGATTTATTTTTTTTGGATTTATTTTGTCTATAGGATTTACTAGGATTTATTTATTCAATGACGATTTGCTGGAATTTATTAACTGTATCAAGATTTTCGTACACCCTCACTCTACTGCTGTCCCCTCGTCCTTACCCTCAAGACAGTACGGGATTTATTTAGAAACATATATGGAGTTATTGAAAAATTCCAATAAATCCCAAAAAAAATAAATCGCGGTAACTGCTGAATTTTTACAGAAGTTTCAGTCAATTATTGAGAATTAAAAGTAATTGTTGGTCTACAATGAAACAAAGTAGGCTAAACAGACTTGTAGCTGCAAATATTCGTAAAGAGCTCGATGTAAATTTAGATGGAATATTGAAATGACATATACAAATGCATCGTCGTCGTCTTGATTTTTGTATTTAAGTTTATAAGTACTATCTATTTGAACAGCTATGAAGATTTATCAGGCAGTGCTGAAAATGTCTAAACAGTACACCTTGATAAATGAAAAATCAGCATGCAGATATTCCTGTTATTATATGTTCAATTTTTGTCCCGCATGCTCCCTGCTCGACAAAGCATTAAAGTGTTTCGTATTGCACAACTCCTTATCTAATTTTTACAGACATCAGATCTTAAATAGACACCAAAAAAGTGTTTTTTTTTATAGCAGCGGAAATGTTAAATAGCTATAGATACTTTAAATAGCTGAAAATATTTCAAAATCTTTCATATTAGAAAATATTGCATCACTTTTGAGAGTTAGTCGTCACAACGTGAGACATTAAAAATAGACTACAACACCTGACTCAGACTTAAGGTCAGAGTTTGATGCAGATTCGATTAAAAGAACGTCATTTCATTTTTTTTGCAGCTTTTCTACGCAATCAGTACTTTGTTGGGCCAAAAAAGTTCTGGACTATCAATAGAAACTTAGTCCATTTTGCCCATCGTAATTTTTGCGACACAATGGAAGTTTGCCCATTGGTCTAAAAATCCTGGTTACGCCACTGTTCATCAATCACATTTCCTTATCTTACATTTCTTGATCTAGGAAGAGCACATGTCGACTATGCAGAACTATTTCTTTTGAAAAAAAAATATGCATCTACCTCGTTTGATTACTCTTGCCATGCAATACAAATCATTCACAACGGTAACAGACAATTTTAATTTTAATAAATTGGAAAGTCTTCGTGTATTTCGAGAATTTGTGCGTCCAGAAAATTTTCATCAATACTTTCCTTTTGTTACTTTTTTAGAAATTATTTGAATAAAAGTAAATACATAGAGAAAATTATTCTCTTGCAGTTTTAGTCAACTCTCGAACTATCTAAGTTCTCTGTTCGAGTGACTTGATTTTTTTATGCGAACATTAATTCTGTGTGTTTTATATCAAAGGTTAAGGAACCATGTGCAATTTATTCAATGCATCTAAGACATATTTCAGAAGTTTAGCAAGACAATATAAAACTATTGTACTGTTTAGATCGAAATATTCTTACTTGAAAGATATTCATACTCATACAGACTACAGACCGTCTAACTTTATGTTTCTTTTTATTCACACTTTTAATCAAATTTTCAAAGTAATTTTTTTTATACAAGCGCATCATTGTTTTTTGTTTACATCGATTTGAAATTGTCATGTAAACGTATAACTATTATACAAATACGAACTAACATCAAATGAATGAAGCAAGATCTGTTATTGATATCATTCATTTGAATTTTTTGGTACTTGATTATCTAAAAGATATTTGAATATAATTGTCAACAACGAAATAAATGTCGAGAGAAAATTGATTTTAATCATCAGATACAAAGTTAAGAGACATCAAAATTGTCGAAGACTAACGGAAACGATCTATCTGAAATGAAAACTGTTTTTACCATTAAAACTTAAAATGCGCAGCAAAAATTTAAGACACCTTTGAAAATTTTGTGTTTCTTTTGATGAAAAGAAAGAGAGTAAGATATATGTTTTGACTGTCATATATAGCCGGAACTAAGCTCTATATTAACGCTTATCAATTCCTCGAATACCCGGAGTCGAATTGCACCCGAAGGTTCTAATTGATTTCCGAATAGCAAAAGTGGAAAAAAACAGCTTCATTTTCGATTCTTGAAATCTGTTTTAAGAACTAATGGTTTAACGATAATATACAAAATGCCGAATGACAGATTTTTTAAAAATTTCTATATATTATTTTCTAGCTTGTTCACGTTTATGAGTTCATCAAAAAAGCAATATCTTTACGAGATAAAGGAAAATGGAAAGAATGAAGAAAACCACAATAATACGATGTGTTCATGAGAAATTATTTATATTGAAAGTTTAAAAGAAATTTATTTCATCATTTTCCTCATCTCATTTATTAACATCACTAAAGATGTACCAAGTCTGAGACCAAACCAAGATTCTCTCTCTTGGTATCGATGCGTTTCTGTTTCTGTCTTGGCCGAATAATCTTCGTGTCGATTCGTAGTAAATCGATGTATCATCTAACTGTATCCAACAGCAAGACAAACATCAAAATCAAGGCCGAGACCAACTGAAAGGCTCGGACTCGGCATACTCCTAATCATCGCCACAGAAAACAATATCATCTTCGTTATTCATTTTAAACTTGAAAAAAATTCAGTAGATGTTTCTTTTGAACTCCAATAGAGTTTGTGTACTCATCGAGCTCTACAGAATGGTGAATGCTAGATTTGAAACGGAGCTTCACATTTGGGAACCTTCCTTGATTAGCTCATTTGATAGCCCATTTCAAAAACTGCAATTTCGTTATATTTCCAATGAGAAAAAGATATGACCACTAGTCCAACATAGGAGCTCAATAGTATCCGTATACAATATTTGGGACCATTTTTGCGGCTTTTTTCGCGACAATTCCACAAATTCTCATAAAAACCAGAATTGAATTCAATATATAGGTTCAGAATCTTATTCTATACCTAAGAGTGAGTTATGTGAGAAGTCCTGGAACATATATGTCGAATGTACAAAATCAACATCTATAACATAGACAATCTGAAGATATTTCAATTCTCAAAAACTGTGATATAAATGTTTGTTCTGACAAAGAAACATATCTGAACAGAGTACAATATCATGAACTGTGCTCAAAAATTATTTAGTTACTTTGAAAAAACTCGCAATGTATGAATTCGATGTACATACAATAGATATCAAGTATATTTCAATGCCTCACAACAAAGAATAGGCTGAACACATCGTAATTGTATCTGAAAAAGTTCTGTTTTTCTATTAATGAGATAAAACAAAGTTTATCATCAAATCAATATTGAAATCATCATTCTTATTCAACTATTTCGTTTTTATCTTTCAATATAGCCTTGTGAGAACTAAAGTTGCATTTGTTTTTTGCTTGTGCATGTTGTCTTGTGTAAGCTTGTCGCAAACAAACAGTCTGTTCAGTTTCATTTGTCGATGAAAAAGGCCACTTTTATTCATACATTATCATTTGAATTAATTCTTGTGAAAAAATCCAAGTTAAACAAATACCTTTGCAGACGAACAGGACAATCAATTTAAATTGATTTATTGATAACAAAGTTCTCTAATTCACTTGAATGGACATCGATGAAATATGAAAGATCATCGTGGACATGTCCTTAGTGATCTCTCTTGACAAACAAATTCAAGACTATTCTTCGAAAAAACCGATGGTTCATCTTCTGAATTTTCTATAAATTTTTTTTACATTAATAAGTTGAATTGATGATTAAGTCGATAGATAGATAAGAGAGAATAAAAATATACAATTCGTTACCTGAATCTTATGACGATTTACAATGATTTCTTTCTTAAGAGTGTATTTATCATCATTCATCGAATATCCATCGTCAAACTATTGCCACAAACTATATTTCTATTACACCTTAGTATACAACGTTTTTTACTTCATTTACAGCTGAGCTAAATTTTTCAAAATCTTTGTAACTGATAACAAAGCTTAGGATTTAATGAACCTTTTACTATGTTAGAGCAATCTAGATTACCTGGTTTTTTTTAAAGTTTTCCACTTATTTGTGTTGAGTACATCGAAATATTTAAGAAAGGAAACAGGGGTGTCCCAAGCGTCCAAAGATGGGGGGGGGGAGGCGTACTTAAAAATCGCACTTGAAGTAGTATAAGTTTATTTTTCTGAAATACATTGCAAGATTATTTTAACAATATCTGTTCGAATATTTTTATTCAAAACTAAAGCACTAAAGATAAGTTCAGAGCATGACCAAATAAAACAAGAATTTTTAAAAAATCACAAATTTGATACAATTTTTATTCATCCATTCTTCAAACATGACCATTCTTGCATTTGTAGTAGAAATATTTTTGAAAGAAATACATAAAACTATTTTTTCAGTGTTCATCAATCAATGTGATATTTTATCAACTAATGATGAGTTGCTGATGAGGGAGAAAGACAATTCAGATGGGTCATTTGTTGGAATATCATTGACATGAACTGATTTTATTTCTGATGATGATGAAATTATTTGATTAGAAAGTTCATTCAATGGTTTAAAATAGTTATGAAGACCTTCAACACTTGTTTCATGAGGAATTGATCTTTTCTTCTTACGAGAGAACACACAGAACTGATCAATCGCTTCTGA